GGGGGAGCCGGAGCCGGGCAGGGGGAGCCGGAGCCGGAGCTGCAGGCGGAGCCGGGCGCGGTGAGCGGGGCTGGCTGCGGGAGGGAGGGAGAGAGGGAGGATGCCGCGTTACACCGGAGCCGAAGCGTTTCGGTGGGGTCTGTCCCTCTCCCTCTTTAAGGGGAGGTCGGCAACTTCGGGTTCGGGGTGGTTTTACTCCCCTGCGCTTTATTCGTGCCCCCGGTGTTTCAGTTGAGGCTGGGCTGGGAGAGGCTGGCCCGGGGAAGTGTGGCTCCCCTTCCCGCAGCCCCAGCGCCGCTGCCCGGTGCCCAGCGGTGCCCAGCGGTGCCCTCCCCTCCTCGGCAGACCGAAGCGTGTCTCCCGAGCGGGTTTTGGTGCCGCTGTGCCCTCCGAGCCTCACCGGCTGCTGCGGCTCCGGCAGAACCCTCTGAATGTTTTGTCTTTTCGCGTGTCATAATCAAGGGCATCTGATTTCCACATGCCTTTAACCTGGGTACGGGTTGGGCCTGCTTTTGATTGTTCCCAAACGTTTTTGTTTTTTTTTTTGGAAAGAACCTGGTTTTGTCCTTACTGACTTCGTGGGTTGTCAAAGCGCTTGAATTGAACGAATACTTCTTCCTTTTGGAGAATTTTCTTTTGCTGGAGGCAGAGAGGGGAGCGCTCGGGGGCAGCGTCGGGGGGTGCGCTGCTTCTGGAAGGAGGGATGCCGAGAGAAGGGAGGCACAGGTTGGTTTCCATTTCTGAAAGATGCTGCAGACCCGGGGTTTGATAGTGCAGAGCGATGGGTCATCACTGTGCAAGCACATTTTTGGCTCTGTGGGTGTAAGCGTGGATTGCCACCCCTGTGCTCTTTCACATTGTTCACAGGAAGATGACGGGAAAGGAATTGCTCCCTCTGCAAATAAATTGTAAAATGCCTACCCAATGTACTGGGAGAAGAGCTGAGCTTAGACAGCACAACGTGGAAAAAGAAAAACAGCATGGATGCACAAAAATGTGCCCTTTCCAAACACTTCATGCCTAGCTGAAAGCTGCAGGCTATTACAGTACCTTCTCAGTGGAGGTAATGAAGTTCGGGATAGAAAGCAAGTGAAGCAAACTCTTCCTGCACTTGCAAATGCTGAACAGTTAGAGGGAAATCGTGAAAATAGAGGTGAAGGGCTGAGCATTTGCCACACCGGTTAGCATTTGTATATGCAGAGACAATTAGGAATGCACACTGAGTATTATTAAATTTAGTTCTCAGGTAATTATAGCAGAATGGGAGAAAGATAAATAGAAGAACTATATAAAATCTGGACTATATAGAATGCACGTAGTGCTGGCAGTTTATTCTTATAAGGGATCCAGCTGGAGGGCTGATGTCTGTTTCCTTATGATTTTGCTTTTTACACTCATTTTGACTCCGCTCTGACTTTTGTGTGCCTGAACGGACTGAAACGAAGGGCAACCTGAAACCACCAGCCTTCTTCTCTCTCCTGTAATGCCTAGAAGGGCTTGTCCCCCTTAGGGATGGTTGCTGCTGGTTGTAACTGGGTACTGGCTGCCTTCCTTCCCCAGCTCTTCCTCGGACTGGGGCATGCGTATCACCCAAGGTGGGGGAAGGAGAGGCAGGCACGTCAATCCTGTCTCCCTCATGTTTCCTCAGCTTTCGTCTGCTCTGGCGTGCAGGCTTGCCTGCCTGCAGACTGCTACTTGCTATGTCCAGTACGTGTGCGTGGCTGTCAACAGGAGAAATGCTGTAAGACCTTGACCTGGTGGGGAAGGGGTCCTGAGCTATTTCAGCACCCAAATCTACTCTAGTACAATCACCGAGTAGGTGAGTGTATGTATATGAACATATTTGGCTCTGGAAGTTATTGCTGTTTGCATTTTGTTAACCTTTTCAGACGTAAAAGGCTGACTGGGATAGCCTGTGTCTGCCGAGTGTCTTGGTTCATAATTGGGTCTTACTGGTGCAGCACAAATTATAAATGGTATTCTGTAAATTCCCCATCAGAGGCAGGAAGCAGTGCAGTTTTCCTCCTGGCACCCCATCTACGCAGAAGCAGAAGGGGAATTAGCTCAACGATAGAGTACATCCAGAAGTTACTGAAAAATGTGGTGTTTCTGATAGGTTTGCGACTTGGAATTTAAATACTAAAAAAGTCAAGACATTTTCACCTCTGCCTCCTGCCCTCTCTTGCAAGCACTCCTCCCCTTGTGTCTTCATGACTGCGGTTACCTCCTTTTCCTGGCGTGTGTGGAGGAAATCCTGTTACGACACAGTCGACCACAGCGCTGCTGCAAAAACCCACCTCTTAGCCCGCTGCTGGGGCTGCGTCTCCCCTCTTTGCCCGTCCTGCTGCTGCTCCCCCTTCTCCCCTGCGTCGGACACGTCAGTCATGGGCTTCAAGTGTCCTCAGTAGTCTCCCTGTACGTGATGTACCACCTCTCTTGCTGTACCAAGACGTACCCCCTGGGCTTTGATTAGCTCTCAGCATCTGTCTCCCTCAAGCTACCACCTTCCTATTTCCCTGGGCTTTGCCTCGCGCTTACTTGTAGCTTCATATAGGCACCTTGTCCATCATTTCATTAATTTCCTTGAGATGGTATGTCGCAGCACGTTTGCTTTTGCTGTGATGCCTTCAGCGGCTGTCTGGTGAGATGCTGAGACAAGCCCTCATCCGTGCTGCCACCATCCCTGTCACTGGAATTAGTCTGGCTCTGGATCTGAGCACAACAGTGTCCTCTAAAGCGAGGACACCTGCGAGGCAGAGGCAGTGTCACACGGATGACTCTACCTAGCACCCCACCATCCCTGTCACTGGAATTAGTCTGGCTCTGGATCTGAGCACAACAGTGTCCTCTAAAGCGAGGACACCTGCGAGGCAGAGGCAGTGTCACATGGATCACTCTACCTAGCACCAGCAGAAGCTCTCCTTCCATAGCCCATGTTATCCTCACTTGCTCTTTTTGGCATTTCAGGTGCAACCCTGCCCCCTTATGCTTACACATCACAGCGTGGTTCGCTGCAACTTGCAATAGTGGTGTAGCTTTGCATAAGTTGTTGCAGGCTGTTTTGCAAACTGTGCCAAGATGTAAATACTGTGGGCACAAATACAGATGTGACAATGCCCCAGTCTCTTTGTCAAGGGAGGGCCTGCAGCCTGCCTTGGTAAAATCGGGAAGGGTGCGAGGATGGAGATCTTTTCTGTTACACCGTTGAGCAGAAACAGAGAATCGAAGGAGTAGGCTGTTTTCTTCTGTCTCTTGGTAAAACAGGCTGAGGCACCTGAGTCGGGAAGCAGAGTTACAGAGACTGGAGTCACTGTGATAGCACATCTGTGCCCAAAATTCCCTTGACATTTAAGTTCACAGTACATAGTCGGTACTGAATCTGCTTTTGGGGGGAGACAAAATTCTGAAACAAAACAATGTGTTAACAAAGGTTTCTGTTGCATCAAGTGTACAAAATTCTGCCCTAGCTTTGTATTGTGACAAGATATCTAAGGAGTTTAAAATGAAATCTGCGTGACATTTTAGGGTTTGATATGGACCATACACTTTGTTTTTGTAAAATATATTGAAGCTTGTGTGTCAGCTGAATTTTACTGCAGGAAAAATGTTTTCTTATTATTCTGGACTCCACTTACTGGGTCAGAACTTCATTAGCCAAGAACTAATAACCCCCTTTACTAGCAAAGCTAAGGGATACTTATTGCTCAGCAGAGGCCCTTGCTGAAGTCTGCAGGTAGGGCTCCTAAGACCTGCTGGCATGAGGTGCCCAGTGGGGGTGGACATGTCCCTGTGGAATATGAGAGACGGAGGCTTCCAGCTAAGCTCCTGTGTGCAGCCACCTCATCCAGCATCTGGCAGGATGCTGTGCCACAGCAGTGGAGGGGACAATAGAGACCTTAGATGCATTCACTTCCAGATTTAGGAACATTTTGTCCTAAAACTTTATTCCCGGTAGGTGAAGGGGACTGTGCCTGATCTTTCAGATGTTTTTTCCTCCTTTACCTGAAGGGAGGCTGAAGGTCTGAGCCCTGCAGATTGGTAGCTTCACAGGTGAGTGTGATAGAGAATGAAAGAGAGCTCTGATAACAAGGACTGCTTACCCTGGGGCTTGATATCTTATCTGGTAGGTTTTGCTCTGAGTAAACAACGTGGAGGAGGTGGAGCACTTAAGAAATCCCATGCGTTTTCAGGGAGGGTGAACGTGGCTGCACAGCCCTCTGCTGCACTGGCCATTTGGCCCCAGGTGTGGAGCCCAGTGCCACTCTGCCTGTGTCGAATACAAAAGGTGGTTATTGGGGGCCCATGTTAGGAGTCATGCACGAGCTAACAAAGCTTAATTAACTTCTGTTTGTTCTGAGATTAATTGTACCGCCATCGCCCCACACGTGCTGGGTGACGTCTTCTCCCGAGAAGCTTATCAGTGTTGGGATGCTCCACACAGCCGCTTGCAGCCTCTGCAAGGAGGGGTGGCAGGAAGGGGATGACTCAACTGTGAAAGGAGACGGCAAGAAAGAAGCAGTTGAAACATTTTCTTACACTTGTTGCACTGAGGGAAACGGGCTTTAACTGATTTATTATTTTTTTTACCTTCCTTTCTTTTTGCCCTGTGAAAATGTACATTTCTAATTAAGCAGCCATGCCACCCTAAACTACATTTTCGCTTCAAATAAAACTTTCAAATTTTGGGGTTGCAAAACAACAAGAAGTCATTCCACAAAATGAAGAAATTAAGGAATCCTGATACTCACCAATTCCTCCCTCTCCCCTGGCTAACCTTGCCCTGGACCTCCTTTACAGCCTGCTGTCTCCAAGGGCACCCGCGGTCTGTTACTTTGGCAGTGACATCTCAATGGCTGTGTTTGACTGTAGAAGTCAATTACTGAGACCTAAAGCCATTAGGAGGAACCAAATGGCTGTGTGAACCTTCGTGTCCCCTCTTCATGATCATCTGCTGTCATTAAACTTTAGGAGTTTGACTCTCTTTGAGGTTTCTGCCTGGGGTTGAATTTGGCTGAAAGTGGCTTTGGGACAACAACAGGAAAGAAAGTTAGTTGGGGTGGGAATAAAAGGAATAAAGCTGGGACTGGACACTGAGAAATCAAATATGACCCATCACAGTAATCAAGGAAGAGTGGAATTTGGGGGTTTGTTGGGGTTTTTTTTAGCAAGCCGTAATTTTTCACAGGAAATTTTCAACCAAAGTGGGAAATAATTTTTAGCAAACCAAGACAGGAAGGAGACTGATTTCCCTGGTGCCTTTGAGTCCTACGGGTGAGATTCAGATTCACATTTTAATGGGAGGCGGGACCATGGAGGGTCCCATTTCCCCATCTGAGGTCCCAGATGTACAGCGATGGGACCCCTTTCTCCATTCACATCCTGAGAGATACAGGGAACAGATAGGTCCCTTGCTCCCCACGTATCTTATTGGCAATAGGAGTGAATAAAGTTCTTGGGCCAAATCCTACTGTGGCAGAACATGGTCAATGCCAGCCTTGACTGTAGGCTACTGCTGCAGCTGAGACTATGAAAATAGCTACTAAAGGCATTGGACTGGTGCGAATGATGTTCTGGTCCAAATATTTCTGTGTTCTTCAAAGGTAATTAGAAGCTCAGACCTTTCCATCTCACTGTGTACGCTTGTCATTTGAATATGAATGCGCGCGTTTAAAGAGCCTTGAGGATGTATTGTGCTTTGCACTGCATCTCTGGCGTGTTTAATCAGCTCAAGATTTGGTAGGCTCTGTTCCCTTCGCCTCGCCGGGGATCGAGGTGGTGTAGTGAATGAAGGGCTAAATGGACAAGAGCAGTGCTCTGTGTATCTGGGGGCAGATGAACTAAAGAAGATCCTGCAGAGACAAAAGAGGGCTGGAAAAGAAGCAAAATCATTTATATTTGTCTTGTTTGAAGATACAGTCCCTGTCACAGAGATCTGTGCCTCTTTTCCCCAAGAGAGCCGTTCTGAAAGAAACAAAGGGAAGGGAAAGGGTCTCTGCTACGAGCAGACAAAACTGAGGGGTAGAGGATTGAGCTCTCTGTGGGCAGATTTTCCACAGAAAAGGTATACGGGGGCTGTTACATCCTCCTTTCCATCCCAGTACCACCACCTGCCTCAGCCAGTGTGCTTCTGGGAAATTGGGTGCATGCCCTCCCATCCAGAGGATGTGCTGGGTCCGTCTCTGGGGAAGCCAACATCAGGGTTCACCTGCAGCCTCCCACCTCTCCTTCTGCACGGGGAGGGGGTCAGGAAGCTGTCCAGCTCCCTTTGGGTGGAACATCAGTATAATCAGTGTTATCAAAACATTTGGATTTCAACAATGCTGACTTTTAACAGCTGCGCTAGATAATTTTCTTTATTGAACTTGGACAGGCTTAAACCATAAGTGATTCAGTGATTGAAGGGATGAAAGCAACACAACAATGCATTAACATTCATCCCCAGAGATCTGCTTCTCTAATGCAGTTCAAACCAAATGTGCTGAAAGGGTAGAGCTCTGAGATGTATAATGATTGCGCAAGCGTCTTTTCTTTCCCAGAGGGGAGGATCTTTTCGAAAGTAGCCCTACTTTTGCTTTAATCTGCATCGTCTGGGATTGTTTCTTCATATACAATCAATTCAATTTGCTTTATTAAAAACAGTTCAGGGGCCACATTTTAATTTTAGGCATTGAACGAATGCAGCACACAAAAATCTGCCAGTTATCCTTGTGTATATACAGTATTCAGGTTGGGGATTTCAGGTAAGTGAACTTAAACTGCAGATTGCCTGAAATAAAGAGAATAAATAAATAATGGTGTGTAATCCAGAAAGGCCTGGATTCCCGGCAGGAGTCTTTAGGGGATAATGTGAAATGAATTGGAGTGCAGATACAGTGCGGTGCCAGGGGACAGCAGGCTGTCTTGGACCTGGAGCACTCTGCAAAAGAAGAGAAAGGTGTTATCAAGGCATGGCTGTAATGCAGAGATCAAGAGATAAGCATGGTTTTTATATTATTCGTGCAGTGCTGTAATTGGACAGCAGAAGGATGTGGTTAGCAGAAATAAAACACAAGCCAGGGTTCCAGTTCTTTTGTTTTCTTCTGAAATTTCTGGCACCGAGAGCAGTCAAAATTCAGCACTTCTTTCTCCCTGTTTTTTATCAATGTAGTTATTACAAAACTCTTCAGCTTTAATTTGCTTTTTTATAGGGGCCTTTCTAGGCATGCAGTCCCCTTAGATTTGGGCGTGATAACTAACCATATCCTGCGAGTTGGACGTTTGGCTTACATCCTCATATCTTCCTGCTTGTAAGTATTTTATTCATCCTCTTTGCTTGTTTTTCTCCTACTTTTAAGGAGCAGATTCAACTGACAGGCTCCGAGTCTGATGCCATGTCATGATGTCTTTGCTTTATATTGTTATAAATAACTCTATAATGTGCAGATCCATGAGAAATGTAAATGATACAAGCATTTGATCCCATCTGAATTAATCTAAGTATCCTTATGGCTCTGAGGTTCCTTTTCCCAGCCCCACACAAAACTCCAAACAAAATGTAACTTGATTTTAACCTGCAAACAAGCCATCTGGGCACTTGTCTTCTTAGATTTTAAAAGTCATAAATTTAAATCATATTAAATCATAATAAAAAATGAAATTAGATCATAAATTAAAAGGAAGACTTTGCTTGTGGCAGGAAATAGTTTTTCCTTTTCCTTGTGTGCACTGTTTTGTTGAGTCAATTGGTGACTGATCCTGTTTCCCAGGCAGAGAGGTGAAGGGATTCTGTGCTCCTGGAGGGTCCATCTGTAACAGGAAAAAGAAGCATCCTACTTACTTGTGGTCTTTCAATTACCAAAGGCATTTATGCGAGAGTAAGAAGTATCAGGGATCATATTCTTGCTAAACTCCAAGTGAGCATTCTTTGCCTTTCCTACCTACATTTACGATGGAATAAAATGTTGCTCGCTTCTTTTCTGTCTAGAGCTACTGTCTAATATAGTTGCGTGATGTTAAATTGCTATATTTTTTCAGTCTAGAGCAAATTGCCTTTCAAGACTGAAGGGTTCCCTGTATGTAAAGTTCATTCAGTCCATTAAAATGAGCATGCAAACATATTTTTATTGGCATTAAATGCTTTGTGTTATATGTTAACTGGAAGGACGGTATATGGTGATACACTCCTATATGCTAAAGGAAATAGATGTAGAAAATGAAGGTGGTGAGGGGAAGATGAATGAATTAAACCAGAAGCTCACAGGCCTTCGTACATGAATCGAGTTAGTGAAGGTCATGAGAAACCTTAATCTTTTTAATAGATGTAGTGAAAACTTGCTGCCAGCTTTTGGAAGTAATCACTGTGACAACAAGACTTGGGGGGTGAGTCGGGGTGGAGGTGGTGTGAGCTTAAATTATATTTCACTAAGCCTGGAGAAATAGGATTGTTTCATTGAGATATGCAGAGAACTAAAATGCAGGCAACTGGATGGTAAAGGATTTATGACATTGGGACTATGAAAAAGCTCTCTGTTTACTGCATGCTGTCCTGGAGAGTGCTGCAGTCTCATTTAACATTCACCTGAGACTGAACGGGGAGATGACTACTGTCTCAGCGATGCTCAAGATTAAATTGCATATGTTACATATAATTTGGCACCCAGAGGGTATGACAATAGATGAGGCCTCTGCTCCTGACCCCATTTCCGTTTTTTGAAAAAAATAGGTTTTATGACAGATGCCATCAAAGATGCAGAGAGCTGATAGCTTTGGCATGGCTACCTCGGCATGGTACCTGGGATTTACCTCTATCCCTCACCAACCCAGTTTGCCCTGCTTTTGGTGAACACCAATTTGCCAATCTCCTGCTTACCATGGGATAAGACAAAAGATGAAAAGCTCCAGCTGAGCCTGCCGACTGTATCTGCCAGGTAGATACTGTACCTGCCAGGTAGCCCTGCCCTTGGAATAAGAGTGGTTGTCCTCACCTATGAAAAGTGATTCATACCAAGGGCATGACTGAAGGAACAGTGCACAGCTGGAGAAAAATACTTAAATAGTGGTTGTGGTTTAAAAGCAAGGATGGCACCATAAGCAGAGCCTTTCCCTGTGTGCCAGATCTCATATTTGAGGACTGAAGTAACAGAACAAGGTTTTACTCTCTTGTACATCTAAAACCAGCAAAGCAGGGAGTTGGATGGAGTTGGTGCCACCTTAGTAGAGTGAGCAGTTTTGCTGAAATGAGTGAATCTATCTAAGCAGTTTGCCCATCAGAGCAGGGAGGCTGCCTAACAATGGAGGAATAGCAGCAGGAAAAGTCAGCCCGTGTCAGAAAGGCAAGGAATGACCTGGGACTTCCTACAGTGGTGGGACGGGATTCAATGACTGAGGAAGCCTCCTCAAGCTGCCCATCCCAGTCCTGGGATTGTAGAGGTGCTTGTGAGAAAGTAATGCAATCCAGCTGCACCACAAAATCTGAGTCCTCCAGCAGACAGGTGCCAGTTCTCCTGTCCCAGGAATTTTCAGGATTTACCCAGTTATTCAGCAACAGCACTTTAAATTCAGTCTTTGCCTTAAACCAACTCAGCTTTCCAACGATAGACGTGGGAAAGGTAGGGACCCCTACAGAACTTGAAAACTTTGGCTCCTTAGTTGAATTCCTTGCTGGGTTTACGGCTCTCACAAAGACAGCAGGTTTGTTGCAGTCGGCCACTTTCAATTTACCATTAGACTTTGAAGTCAGTGACAAAATTCCCGATCATTTTTTTAGGACCAGATTTGGGCTAGATGTTATGATGTTGTTCTGTTCAGTTTTCAGAAATGCACAAAACCAATTAGCAAACAAGAAGGTGAAGGTGGCACCTGGCTTTATTGGGGGTTATTCCGTTGGGACGATTAGTGTAAGAGAGACAAAGGGTTGTGCCTCTTACCTTCATCTCCCGGCAGAAGAAGGAACCTAAGCCGAAGCATTAGCTGTGGCGCAGTGAATAAAATTGCTTGCGGGTGTCCCTCTTGAAGCCTGGGAGATCTGATTTGGGGGAAGGCAGAGGTGTGGGCAGCCCTATGACTGTGTAGCTGCATTTTGGTCTAGAACAGCATTTGCAGCCCTGCAGCCGTCCCGGCTGGTCTCCAGTGGGGTTGCAATGCTGGAACCGCACCAGGGAACATTGTCGGGGATCAGGGTGGGATCCATTTTCTTTCTGTACACATTTTGTACCTTTCCTATGAATACTACTCAGATGTCAAGAACTCAGATATGTTCACACTCCATAGCATTTTGCTGTTTTACTCCAACGGTACAGATGGCTGGTGAAAATCCTTTTTGACTGAGTAGGACCTTACACTTTAGGTCCGTATTTTTAAAAGTGTGATTAAACCAACACTTTTTTTTTTTCCTCCCTAAAATATTACCCAAAGAGCCACTTTAGCTGAAGCTACGTTTTATGGTGAAATTCATTTACACATCCCATCACTACGCAGTGTGAGTGAGGCAACTAGGATCTGGGCCATAGTCATTTGGAATCAGAGTTTACAGTGTGTCTGATCTCACTACAAAATACTCAGTTAAAAATAGCCCAGCTGACATTGTAAGACCTATAAAGGCTCTGATCTAGCAAAGCACTCACATCTCTGCTTAACTGTGAGGTTCTGATTAGTCCTTTTTAAGACCATAAATCTTCCACCAACTTCAAAGAAAGTCCCATGCCAAAGTTCTTCCTTGTACCAGGGCCAAAACTATTAATGGCAAAAGTAGAATGTAGCGGATTTTAAATTTCTGAAGAATTTAAACACTTTTAACTTCTGCCATGTTAAAAAAATTATGTGAATTCATTCCTTAAGTTATTCTACAGCAATTCAATTAATAATGGATCTGCTTTTCATTATGATGAGTAATCAAGGATAAACATCTTCTATATCAAAGCTTATCTTTTAAAAAGGATAAATTAGTTATAACACACTTAACTACTTCCAGAACATGAAAGGAACATGTATTGTTCCATTAGTTAATTTTGGATCACTAAATTAAAGACAGTTCAAAAGGAGTATAATCTCATAAGGATCTCTCTTTGTTCAGTCTGTTGTGACTTATTTCACAAGGTACAATAAATACTGTTTCTTGTGGAGCTAAATGCTATTAGAGTTATAAAATGGTTTTGGTTTAGTATATTTTATGCGTCAGTATGAGTTATATACCACAAGGGTAAGAATAGTTTTATCTGGTATTTGCAGATGCAGTTCTGTACTCCTGCATATCTTGTAGGCTATTGGGATGTTTGATTAAGACTACCAAAAGCTCTGCAATAAATGATACATGCAATAAAGCAATAAAACAACATCTGGAATGTAACCTTTTGTCCATGAAAGCATGGATGTGTATGTACTAGCAAATTAATCCAGGCCAGGGCATAGGTCTGTTATCATCTCTCCTGTGGAATTAACAAGCACACCTCCTGACGTGGTTTTGGACAGCTAGCATCCTCCAAGCAACGCCTGGACATATTTGAGGTTAGGATCAGCCATTGTTCATTCCCAAAGGCACCTGTGATTTGGCCATCCTGTCCGTGGGAATAAAAGGGAGTTCAGGCATTTTGATGCAGCATGCCACACAAGTTGTCCCCAACACCAGAGAATAGCTTTGACCGGTTTTATGTAGTATAGATGTAGTTCTGAGGTATAGAAAATAAATTGGGGTTTAAAAACAGAATTAGATTCTACCTACTGCTTAATGTAGTCCTTGTTTACTCAGGCACTCAGGGCTTTTAACAGCATATAGCATTGCCTCCTGAATTTAATTTGCAGTGCAAAAGTACAGTGGGTAACTATGCAAATAACTTCAGTGACTGCAAAGCAAACTTCTTAGCATTTTCAGTGGGTGTCTCCAAGGCTTCTGTGTTCTCAGAGAAGAAACATCACCAGCAGAAAAGTACTTCATCCTACTTAAGGATCTTTAGTCCAGGTTGGATCACACCTAGTGTCAAGAAGTGTCTGCCTCTTGAAGAAAGAGGGGCTTTACTAAGTTAGCAGAGGTAGCATGTTTAAAGGAAAAATGGTAAGGCAGACCATTGCTGGGGGCAGTGCTGGGACATTTTCATGGGAACTCAGAGAAAGCTCTCCTTCCATAGCCCATGTTATCCTCACTTGCTCTTTTTGGCATTTCAGGTGCAACCCTGCCCCCTTATGCTTACACATCACAGCGTGGTTCGCTGCAACTTGCAATAGTGGTGTAGCTTTGCATAAGTTGTTGCAGGCTGTTTTGCAAACTGTGCCAAGATGTAAATACTGTGGGCACAAATACAGATGTGACAATGCCCCAGTCTCTTTGTCAAGGGAGGGCCTGCAGCCTGCCTTGGTAAAATCGGGAAGGGTGCGAGGATGGAGATCTTTTCTGTTACACCGTTGAGCAGAAACAGAGAATCGAAGGAGTAGGCTGTTTTCTTCTGTCTCTTGGTAAAACAGGCTGAGGCACCTGAGTCGGGAAGCAGAGTTACAGAGACTGGAGTCACTGTGATAGCACATCTGTGCCCAAAATTCCCTTGACATTTAAGTTCACAGTACATAGTCGGTACTGAATCTGCTTTTGGGGGGAGACAAAATTCTGAAACAAAACAATGTGTTAACAAAGGTTTCTGTTGCATCAAGTGTACAAAATTCTGCCCTAGCTTTGTATTGTGACAAGATATCTAAGGAGGTTAAAATGAAATCTGCGTGACATTTTAGGGTTTGATATGGACCATACACTTTGTTTTTGTAAAATATATTGAAGCTTGTGTGTCAGCTGAATTTTACTGCAGGAAAAATGTTTTCTTATTATTCTGGACTCCACTTACTGGGTCAGAACTTCATTAGCCAAGAACTAATAACCCCCTTTACTAGCAAAGCTAAGGGATACTTATTGCTCAGCAGAGGCCCTTGCTGAAGTCTGCAGGTAGGGCTCCTAAGACCTGCTGGCATGAGGTGCCCAGTGGGGGTGGACATGTCCCTGTGGAATATGAGAGACGGAGGCTTCCAGCTAAGCTCCTGTGTGCAGCCACCTCATCCAGCATCTGGCAGGATGCTGTGCCACAGCAGTGGAGGGGACAATAGAGACCTTAGATGCATTCACTTCCAGATTTAGGAACATTTTGTCCTAAAACTTTATTCCCGGTAGGTGAAGGGGACTGTGCCTGATCTTTCAGATGTTTTTTCCTCCTTTACCTGAAGGGAGGCTGAAGGTCTGAGCCCTGCAGATTGGTAGCTTCACAGGTGAGTGTGATAGAGAATGAAAGAGAGCTCTGATAACAAGGACTGCTTACCCTGGGGCTTGATATCTTATCTGGTAGGTTTTGCTCTGAGTAAACAACGTGGAGGAGGTGGAGCACTTAAGAAATCCCATGCGTTTTCAGGGAGGGTGAACGTGGCTGCACAGCCCTCTGCTGCACTGGCCATTTGGCCCCAGGTGTGGAGCCCAGTGCCACTCTGCCTGTGTCGAATACAAAAGGTGGTTATTGGGGGCCCATGTTAGGAGTCATGCACGAGCTAACAAAGCTTAATTAACTTCTGTTTGTTCTGAGATTAATTGTACCGCCATCGCCCCACACGTGCTGGGTGACGTCTTCTCCCGAGAAGCTTATCAGTGTTGGGATGCTCCACACAGCCGCTTGCAGCCTCTGCAAGGAGGGGTGGCAGGAAGGGGATGACTCAACTGTGAAAGGAGACGGCAAGAAAGAAGCAGTTGAAACATTTTCTTACACTTGTTGCACTGAGGGAAACGGGCTTTAACTGATTTATTATTTTTTTTACCTTCCTTTCTTTTTGCCCTGTGAAAATGTACATTTCTAATTAAGCAGCCATGCCACCCTAAACTACATTTTCGCTTCAAATAAAACTTTCAAATTTTGGGGTTGCAAAACAACAAGAAGTCATTCCACAAAATGAAGAAATTAAGGAATCCTGATACTCACCAATTCCTCCCTCTCCCCTGGCTAACCTTGCCCTGGACCTCCTTTACAGCCTGCTGTCTCCAAGGGCACCCGCGGTCTGTTACTTTGGCAGTGACATCTCAATGGCTGTGTTTGACTGTAGAAGTCAATTACTGAGACCTAAAGCCATTAGGAGGAACCAAATGGCTGTGTGAACCTTCGTGTCCCCTCTTCATGATCATCTGCTGTCATTAAACTTTAGGAGTTAGACTCTCTTTGAGGTTTCTGCCTGGGGTTGAATTTGGCTGAAAGTGGCTTTGCGACAACAACAGGAAAGAAAGTTAGTTGGAGTGGGAATAAAAGGAATAAAGCTGGGACTGGACACTGAGAAATCAAATATGACCCATCACAGTAATCAAGGAAGAGTGGAATTTGGGGGTTTGTTGGGGTTTTTTTTTAGCAAGCCGTAATTTTTCACAGGAAATTTTCAACCAAAGTGGGAAATAATTTTTAGCAAACCAAGACAGGAAGGAGACTGATTTCCCTGGTGCCTTTGAGTCCTACGGGTGAGATTCAGATTCACATTTTAATGGGAGGCGGGACCATGGAGGGTCCCATTTCCCCATCTGAGGTCCCAGATGTACAGCGATGGGACCCCTTTCTCCATTCACATCCTGAGAGATACAGGGAACAGATAGGTCCCTTGCTCCCCACGTATCTTATTGGCAATAGGAGTGAATAAAGTTCTTGGGCCAAATCCTACTGTGGCAGAACATGGTCAATGCCAGCCTTGACTGTAGGCTACTGCTGCAGCTGAGACTATGAAAATAGCTACTAAAGGCATTGGACTGGTGCGAATGATGTTCTGGTCCAAATATTTCTGTGTTCTTCAAAGGTAATTAGAAGCTCAGACCTTTCCATCTCACTGTGTACGCTTGTCATTTGAATATGAATGCGCGCGTTTAAAGAGCCTTGAGGATGTATTGTGCTTTGCACTGCATCTCTGGCGTGTTTAATCAGCTCAAGATTTGGTAGGCTCTGTTCCCTTCGCCTCGCCGGGGATTGAGGTGGTGTAGTGAATGAAGGGCTAAATGGACAAGAGCAGTGCTCTGTGTATCTGGGGGCAGATGAACTAAAGAAGATCCTGCAGAGACAAAAGAGGGCTGGAAAAGAAGCAAAATCATTTATATTTGTCTTGTTTGAAGATACAGTCCCTGTCACAGAGATCTGTGCCTCTTTTCCCCAAGAGAGCCGTTCTGAAAGAAACAAAGGGAAGGGAAAGGGTCTCTGCTACGAGCAGACAAAACTGAGGGGTAGAGGATTGAGCTCTCTGTGGGCAGATTTTCCACAGAAAAGGTATACGGGGGCTGTTACATCCTCCTTTCCATCCCAGTACCACCACCTGCCTCAGCCAGTGTGCTTCTGGGAAATTGGGTGCATGCCCTCCCATCCAGAGGATGTGCTGGGTCCGTCTCTGGGGAAGCCAACATCAGGGTTCACCTGCAGCCTCCCACCTCTCCTTCTGCACGGGGAGGGGGTCAGGAAGCTGTCCAGCTCCCTTTGGGTGGAACATCAGTATAATCAGTGTTATCAAAACATTTGGATTTCAACAATGCTGACTTTTAACAGCTGCGCTAGATAATTTTCTTTATTGAACTTGGACAGGCTTAAACCATAAGTGATTCAGTGATTGAAGGGATGAAAGCAACACAACAATGCATTAACATTCATCCCCAGAGATCTGCTTCTCTAATGCAGTTCAAACCAAATGTGCTGAAAGGGTAGAGCTCTGAGATGTATAATGATTGCGCAAGCGTCTTTTCTTTCCCAGAGGGGAGGATCTTTTCGAAAGTAGCCCTACTTTTGCTTTAATCTGCATCGTCTGGGATTGTTTCTTCATATACAATCAATTCAATTTGCTTTATTAAAAACAGTTCAGGGGCCACATTTTAATTTTAGGCATTGAACGAATGCAGCACACAAAAATCTGCCAGTTATCCTTGTGTATATACAGTATTCAGGTTGGGGATTTCAGGTAAGTGAACTTAAACTGCAGATTGCCTGAAATAAAGAGAATAAATAAATAATGGTGTGTAATCCAGAAAGGCCTGGATTCCCGGCAGGAGTCTTTAGGGGATAATGTGAAATGAATTGGAGTGCAGATACAGTGCGGTGCCAGGGGACAGCAGGCTGTCTTGGACCTGGAGCACTCTGCAAAAGAAGAGAAAGGTGTTATCAAGGCATGGCTGTAATGCAGAGATCAAGAGATAAGCATGGTTTTTATATTATTCGTGCAGTGCTGTAATTGGACAGCAGAAGGATGTGGTTAGCAGAAATAAAACACAAGCCAGGGTTCCAGTTCTTTTGTTTTCTTCTGAAATTTCTGGCACCGAGAGCAGTCAAAATTCAGCACTTCTTTCTCCCTGTTTTTTATCAATGTAGTTATTACAAAACTCTTCAGCTTTAATTTGCTTTTTTATAGGGGCCTTTCTAGGCATGCAGTCCCCTTAGATTTGGGCGTGATAACTAACCATATCCTGCGAGTTGGACGTTTGGCTTACATCCTCATATCTTCCTGCTTGTAAGTATTTTATTCATCCTCTTTGCTTGTTTTTCTCCTACTTTTAAGGAGCAGATTCAACTGACAGGCTCCGAGTCTGATGCCATGTCATGATGTCTTTGCTTTATATTGTTATAAATAACTCTATAATGTGCAGATCCATGAGAAATGTAAATGATACAAGCATTTGATCCCATCTGAATTAATCTAAGTATCCTTATGGCTCTGAGGTTCCTTTTCCCAGCCCCACACAAAACTCCAAACAAAATGTAACTTGATTTTAACCTGCAAACAAGCCATCTGGGCACTTGTCTTCTTAGATTTTAAAAGTCATAAATTTAAATCATATTAAATCATAATAAAAAATGAAATTAGATCATAAATTAAAAGGAAGACTTTGCTTGTGGCAGGAAATAGTTTTTCCTTTTCCTTGTGTGCACTGTTTTGTTGAGTCAATTGGTGACTGATCCTGTTTCCCAGGCAGAGAGGTGAAGGGATTCTGTGCTCCTGGAGGGTCCATCTGTAACAGGAAAAAGAAGCATCCTACTTACTTGTGGTCTTTCAATTACCAAAGGCATTTATGCGAGAGTAAGAAGTATCAGGGATCATATTCTTGCTAAACTCCAAGTGAGCATTCTTTGCCTTTCCTACCTACATTTACGATGGAATAAAATGTTGCTCGCTTCTTTTCTGTCTAGAGCTACTGTCTAATATAGTTGCGTGATGTTAAATTGCTATATTTTTTCAGTCTAGAGCAAATTGCCTTTCAAGACTGAAGGGTTCCCTGTATGTAAAGTTCATTCAGTCCATTAAAATGAGCATGCAAACATATTTTTATTGGCATTAAATGCTTTGTGTTATATGTTAACTGGAAGGACGGTATATGGTGATACACTCCTATATGCTAAAGGAAATAGATGTAGAAAATGAAGGTGGTGAGGGGAAGATGAATGAATTAAACCAGAAGCTCACAGGCCTTCGTACATGAATCGAGTTAGTGAAGGTCATGAGAAACCTTAATCTTTTTAATAGATGTAGTGAAAACTTGCTGCCAGCTTTTGGAAGTAATCACTGTGACAACAAGACTTGGGGGGTGAGTCGGGGTGGAGGTGGTGTGAGCCATCCTTTGGGATGAGGAGGTTTCATCCTGGAGCTGGCATCACCGTATCACTTGGGATGTCTTCTGGGAACCTGCACAATCCTCCTCCTGCTCTGCCTGCCCTGATGCTGAACAAAAGAGAGGTGGTTCTGGTTTCATGTCACGAGGGGATGATATCATTATCTGCTCACTCCTGGCTTTAACTTTCCAAAAGGGAAAAAAAGAGAGGACTTGTGAGTCCTTTCACTTAGATAATCAGTGTCATCTTTAATGAATGTCCTCTGCCTCCCCTCCCCTGCTCAAAACAAAGAGCTGTCTGCCGGATACGGAGCAAGAAATTTTTGTGCAGATCCAAAGTACCATCTAGGCAATGAATCTCCCTTTCCTAGACATTTTCTAGCCATATTAATGGCCGATAATTTCAGTGCCATTTGCTAGTCACCAGATCCTCTCCATCAGGGGCATGGTCTCAAGTCATCCCTTGTGGGCATGTTGGTCTTCGCCTCGCATCTCCATGTCACCCCGAACACACACGTGTGCAAGCATGGGAAGTGGATCCGAGGAAGACAGAATATGCAGACATAATGTAGCCTGTTGCCCAGAGGCTCCTTCTGCCAGGATCCATGGACATCTGACATGGGTGAGCTTCTTCAGCTGTCCTGCACAGGGTCAGTGAGCAACTCCTGCCCTCCACAGGAGCAACTCCTGCCCTCTGTTTTGAAAAAGATGGTAGAAATTGAATCCTTCTGTTGCATTCATCCTCTGCCTTTCTGTATACATTGGGATGAAATCAGCCAAAAGGGTTTTCGTTTTTTAGGGAAGGATGGCAGATAAAATTAACAGCGTATTGATGTCTGATGGGACAAGGGACCTCAGTGTTGTAACTCTTGTAAAGGCACATTAAGCTCTCCTCTGCTAAGAATTGTTTACAATAAGAAGAGGGCTTTTTAGAATACCTTCTACCTGTGAAGAAAGAGTTGATGGGAGATTGTGACAAAAATGTTAGTTTATGTAGCATAAAAATGCTGATTTTCTTTGATGTCGGTTTGTCTCTCTGCTTAAACATTTTAAAGCCTCTGAAATACCTGCTGTATATCTCAGCCTGTAGTCACAAAAAGCCAGAAGAACCAAAAAACATAATGTTTATCTATAGCTGATAATGTCCCAAGAAAATGAATCTACCAGACTTATCTCTGCTCCTTGTTCCTCAATTTTTAGGGCCTCAGTGGTTGTGAGTATGCTCCATTAAATTATATTTCACTAAGCCTGGAGAAATAGGATTGTTTCATTGAGATATGCAGAGAACTAAAATGCAGGCAACTGGATGGTAAAGGATTTATGACATTGGGACTATGAAAAAGCTCTCTGTTTACTGCATGCTGTCCTGGAGAGTGCTGCAGTCTCATTTAACATTCACCTGAGACTGAACGGGGAGATGACTACTGTCTCAGCGATGCTCAAGATTAAATTGCATATGTTACATATAATTTGGCACCCAGAGGGTATGACAATAGATGAGGCCTCTGCTCCTGACCCCATTTCCGTTTTTTGAAAAAAATAGGTTTTATGACAGATGCCATCAAAGATGCAGAGAGCTGATAGCTTTGGCATGGCTACCTCGGCATGGTACCTGGGATTTACCTCTATCCCTCACCAACCCAGTTTGCCCTGCTTTTGGTGAACACCAATTTGCCAATCTCCTGCTTACCATGGGATAAGACAAAAGATGAAAAGCTCCAGCTGAGCCTGCCGACTGTATCTGCCAGGTAGATACTGTACCTGCCAGGTAGCCCTGCCCTTGGAATAAGAGTGGTTGTCCTCACCTATGAAAAGTGATTCATACCAAGGGCATGACTGAAGGAACAGTGCACAGCTGGAGAAAAATACTTAAATAGTGGTTGTGGTTTAAAAGCAAGGATGACACCATAAGCAGAGCCTTTCCCTGTGTGCCAGATCTCATATTTGAGGACTGAAGTAACAGAACAAGGTTTTACTCTCTTGTACATCTAAAACCAGCAGAGCAGGGAGTTGGATGGAGTTGGTGCCACCTTAGTAGAGTGAGCAGTTTTGCTGAAATGAGTGAATCTATCTAAGCAGTTTGCCCATCAGAGCAGGGAGGCTGCCTAACAATGGAGGAATAGCAGCAGGAAAAGTCAGCCCGTGTCAGAAAGGCAAGGAATGACCTGGGACTTCCTACAGTGGTGGGACGGGATTCAATGACTGAGGAAGCCTCCTCAAGCTGCCCATCCCAGTCCTGGGATTGTAGAGGTGCTTGTGAGAAAGTAATGCAATCCAGCTGCACCACAAAATCTGAGTCCTCCAGCAGACAGGTGCCAGTTCTCCTGTCCCAGGAATTTTCAGGATTTACCCAGTTATTCAGCAACAGCACTTTAAATTCAGTCTTTGCCTTAAACCAACTCAGCTTTCCAACGATAGACGTGGGAAAGGTAGGGACCCCTACAGAACTTGAAAACTTTGGCTCCTTAGTTGAATTCCTTGCTGGGTTTACGGCTCTCACAAAGACAGCAGGTTTGTTGCAGTCGGCCACTTTCAATTTACCATTAGACTTTGAAGTCAGTGACAAAATTCCCGATCATTTTTTTAGGACCAGATTTGGGCTAGATGTTATGATGTTGTTCTGTTCAGTTTTCAGAAATGCACAAAACCAATTAGCAAACAAGAAGGTGAAGGTGGCACCTGGCTTTATTGGGGGTTATTCCGTTGGGACGATTAGTGTAAGAGAGACAAAGGGTTGTGCCTCTTACCTTCATCTCCCGGCAGAAGAAGGAACCTAAGCCGAAGCATTAGCTGTGGCGCAGTGAATAAAATTGCTTGCGGGTGTCCCTCTTGAAGCCTGGGAGATCTGATTTGGGGGAAGGCAGAGGTGTGGGCAGCCCTATGACTGTGTAGCTGCATTTTGGTCTAGAACAGCATTTGCAGCCCTGCAGCCGTCCCGGCTGGTCTCCAGTGGGGTTGCAATGCTGGAACCGCACCAGGGAACATTGTCGGGGATCAGGGTGGGATCCATTTTCTTTCTGTACACATTTTGTACCTTTCCTATGAATACTACTCAGATGTCAAGAACTCAGATATGTTCACACTCCATAGCATTTTGCTGTTTTACTCCAACGGTACAGATGGCTGGTGAAAATCCTTTTTGACTGAGTAGGACCTTACACTTTAGGTCCGTATTTTTAAAAGTGTGATTAAACCAACACTTTTTTTTTTTCCTCCCTAAAATATTACCCAAAGAGCCACTTTAGCTGAAGCTACGTTTTATGGTGAAATTCATTTACACATCCCATCACTACGCAGTGTGAGTGAGGCAACTAGGATCTGGGCCATAGTCATTTGGAATCAGAGTTTACAGTGTGTCTGATCTCACTACAAAATACTCAGTTAAAAATAGCCCAGCTGACATTGTAAGACCTATAAAGGCTCTGATCTAGCAAAGCACTCACATCTCTGCTTAACTGTGAGGTTCTGATTAGTCCTTTTTAAGACCATAAATCTTCCACCAACTTCAAAGAAAGTCCCATGCCAAAGTTCTTCCTTGTACCAGGGCCAAAACTATTAATGGCAAAAGTAGAATGTAGCGGATTTTAAATTTCTGAAGAATTTAAACACTTTTAACTTCTGCCATGTTAAAAAAATTATGTGAATTCATTCCTTAAGTTATTCTACAGCAATTCAATTAATAATGGATCTGCTTTTCATTATGATGAGTAATCAAGGATAAACATCTTCTATATCAAAGCTTATCTTTTAAAAAGGATAAATTAGTTATAACACACTTAACTACTTCCAGAACATGAAAGGAACATGTATTGTTCCATTAGTTAATTTTGGATCACTAAATTAAAGACAGTTCAAAAGGAGTATAATCTCATAAGGATCTCTCTTTGTTCAGTCTGTTGTGACTTATTTCACAAGGTACAATAAATACTGTTTCTTGTGGAGCTAAATGCTATTAGAGTTATAAAATGGTTTTGGTTTAGTATATTTTATGCGTCAGTATGAGTTATATACCACAAGGGTAAGAATAGTTTTATCTGGTATTTGCAGATGCAGTTCTGTACTCCTGCATATCTTGTAGGCTATTGGGATGTTTGATTAAGACTACCAAAAGCTCTGCAATAAATGATACATGCAATAAAGCAATAAAACAACATCTGGAATGTAACCTTTTGTCCATGAAAGCATGGATGTGTATGTACTAGCAAATTAATCCAGGCCAGGGCATAGGTCTGTTATCATCTCTCCTGTGGAATTAACAAGCACACCTCCTGACGTGGTTTTGGACAGCTAGCATCCTCCAAGCAACGCCTGGACATATTTGAGGTTAGGATCAGCCATTGTTCATTCCCAAAGGCACCTGTGATTTGGCCATCCTGTCCGTGGGAATAAAAGGGAGTTCAGGCATTTTGATGCAGCATGCCACACAAGTTGTCCCCAACACCAGAGAATAGCTTTGACCGGTTTTATGTAGTATAGATGTAGTTCTGAGGTATAGAAAATAAATTGGGGTTTAAAAACAGAATTAGATTCTACCTACTGCTTAATGTAGTCCTTGTTTACTCAGGCACTCAGGGCTTTTAACAGCATATAGCATTGCCTCCTGAATTTAATTTGCAGTGCAAAAGTACAGTGGGTAACTATGCAAATAACTTCAGTGACTGCAAAGCAAACTTCTTAGCATTTTCAGTGGGTGTCTCCAAGGCTTCTGTGTTCTCAGAGAAGAAACATCACCAGCAGAAAAGTACTTCATCCTACTTAAGGATCTTTAGTCCAGGTTGGATCACACCTAGTGTCAAGAAGTGTCTGCCTCTTGAAGAAAGAGGGGCTTTACTAAGTTAGCAGAGGTAGCATGTTTAAAGGAAAAATGGTAAGGCAGACCATTGCTGGGGGCAGTGCTGGGACATTTTCATGGGAACTCAGAGACACTTGGGCAGTTGTGTGACACACAGAGGGAGAGACCACAGACATTCGCAGTCATTATTTAAAGGGCCCGATGCTGTCCCTCTGGCTGATGCTGACAGTGTTTACTCTCTCTGTCACCATGGAAATCAGTGGATTGTATTTCTCAAAGCCTCTAACTGTGAGTTGGAGGTAATTGTATTGAACTGGGACCACAGGATGAGGCTGAAAGCAAGGTCAAGATGAGAGGGACTGCACTGGGAACATAGTTCTTTATGGATATTGTCTTCTTTGTGGGAGGAGAGCTTACCACCTTTCCTTGTGATGCTTGAGTATCTGCAGTGAGAGGCTGACCATAGATGGATGGATAGAAAGATTGCATGTGGATGATTATATGCAGAAAATAAGCTTCATTTCCTACCTGCTTGCACCTTGCATTATCTGTTTTGTTTCAAAACAAAGGCCATGGATTACAGCATCTAATTCAGCTACAGCACATCAGCTTTTTACAAACAATTCCCTCTCTTCTCTCACACTTCCACACTGCACCTGGGGATTAAACACGTCAGTTTAAAGAAAAGCAGCCTAGCGTACCCTCTGATCTGCTCGTCCTGTGCTACTGTGGCTTTTGCCAGCACCCGAGCTTCCAGGTTCAAACACAAAGTGGGTGGAGGCAAAGCTTGTTCAAAGATGGGATCTCTTCCCCGTTGGCATTTGCTGCCCTTAGATAGTCCCCTTGCATTTGTTGAGCTGCCAGGGCTGCCAGTTCCCTCAGGATTTTGCTTGTAAGTGTCAGAAGCTGCAACACTTCACTGAAACGTGCCTGCCACCGAGGTCCCCATGGCAGCATTAGAGTGAGACACATTTTGATCTTTGAAACCATTTGATCCTTTCCTTAAATATACAGTAAGAAAGCAAGTCTGGCAGATTTTCTCATTCTGGGTACCTCTGCCAAGGCACTATGGAGTAAGTGACTAATGGCGGTGGATTTGTCATCCATCACAGTGTTGAGCAGCCTTGCTCATCTAGGCTGGGGAGCTGAAGTCTTGAGAGGAACTTTTGTTCCTTGACTAGGTCTTATCTACAAGTCAAATCTGGATTCCAATATGCCCGTCCCATACAAAGTACATTTTTGATTGTGCCGTTCCTCAGTTAAACAACTCATGGAGGGGAAGGGTCAATTTTAATTCATTGATGGGTAGGATTTCTCCTAATCCCTGCATTTTGGAAAATAGAGATATAAAGATAGTTGTTAGCTCATGCTTTATGAATTGCAGTTTAGGAGTAATAATTTGGAACTCTTAAGAATTAGATTGTCTCAGGTACACATTAAATCACATTACTTGCTAGTAAATTAATCTTGCTTTTTTTTTTCTTTTTTTTCCCCTTGCAGTTCCAAAGGATACAATCTTAGATTGTCCTGGGCTTGAGCAGTAAAGGATAAATTTCATCACTGGCTGACTTCTCATCTCTTCATTGTGATGAAAAAATGGTTGCCTAAAGTAAAACATTTGTTATGCTGCTAAACCTGCCTTTGAATCCAAGATCCATTGCGATTTTTAAAACACAAACCCCAAAATGTCAGAACCCGACTCTTCATCTGGATTTGTAGGAAACATGGAAAATGGGACATTTCTGGAGCTGTATCCCACATCCCTTTCAACTTCAGTGGATTCATCACCTGGCCGTTTATCCAACGTCTATGTCTATGTTTCTATATTCCTTAGTCTCTTAGCTTTTCTCCTTTTGCTATTGATCATTGCGCTTCAGAGGCTGAAAAACATAATTTCTTCCAGTTCCTCCTACCCAGAATATAATAGTGATGCTGGAAGTTCTTTCACTAATTTAGAGGTTTGTAGTATTTCTTCCCAGCGCTCTGCTCTCTCAAATCTTTCTTCGTGAAATGAAATGAAAGGAAACGCACAGGGAATGGAAGAGCTTTGTCTTGTTTCTTGGGGAGGTAGTGCATGCAACATTTGCCTTAGAAGACTATTATGAAGAGGTGGCTTTGAAGGTTTCCTTAGTTGCTTTTTGGTTGGGTTTTTTTTTTTTTTTTCCTTTCCTTTTCTAGTCTTCATTTCCACTGTTACTAATGTTCCTTTTCATTTTGGACAATGGATAAATGACACTTGATCATCGTTTCATACCTGTAATAGTGATGCTGTCTCTTCCTCACACATACACAGTGTTCATTAAGAGTATTCCTGCCAAATTGTGATATGGTTCTAACTGGATGTGTCATTTTTCTGCTCTAGTTGTGACCCTTTCCCTGGTTTTGTATCAGTAGTATGCTGACTACTTTTCTTTTTCCTTTTCCTAAGGACTTCTGGAAGAAAAGCCTATTGCAAAAGTATAAACACTGGGACAATATAAAGTTGTTGGCATTGTTTCTTCTTTAATTTTCACATCTTTTTCAGTATTTATTGCTGTTTATAAAACAACAAATCCATTTCCTGAAGAATGTTACTTTTGTTTATTTGTACTCCCAAGTCATTCTGTATAAAGTCTCTGTATTTCAGTTTTTGAATCTCTTCAGTTAACTTAGTAAAGTGACTATGAGAACGATGCTCGCTGCTGAATGTGTGGAGGTATTTTGAGGACCCCATTGAATCTAATTTGCCTAATAAGTTGTTCCTCCAGGGGGCAGCTTTTGCTGCTATTACACAACTCCTTCGCATCCTTCACTGATACTGTCAATTATTCTTACTGGATACCAGTACAAATCAGTGGTTTCTTTTACAAGATCTGCATGCAAAAACCTTAGCTAGCAACTGAATAGTTCCTGTAGCTGTCCTTTAGGCACAAGATTTTGTACTGGTGAGGACCTTCTGAGCCAGACTGTGTCCTGTAATTTCACAAACACTTGCTGGGGTGGAGAGGGAACATGAGGATCTAAGTAATGCCCGGGCACACCTGTACTCTGACGCTCTGGAGGTGCAAGGTGTGCCTGCAGAAGGTAGAATCATAGAATAGAATTGTCTAGGTTGGAAGGGACCTTTAAGATCATCTAGTCCAGCCGTTAACCTAACACTGACAAAACCACCACTAAACCATGTCTCTAAGCACCATGTCTCTCCATCTTTTAAATATCTTCAGGAATAGTGATTCAACCACTTCCCTGGGCAGCCAGTTCCAATGTTTGACAACCCTTTCCATGAAGAAATTTTTCCTAATATCCAAACACCTAAACCTCTCCCGTTGCAAGCTGGGACTGTTTCCTCTTGTCCTATCACTTGTTACTTGTTACCAGCCCCCACCTCTCTACAACCTGCTTTCAGGTAGTTGTAAAGAGCCATAATGTCTCCCTGAGCCTCCTTTTCTCCAGGCTAAACAACCCCAGATCCCTCAGCTGCTCCTCATAAGACTTGTACTCTAGACTTCTCACCAGCTTTGCTGCTCTTCTCTGAACATGCTCCAGCACCTCAATATCTTTCTTGTAGTGAGAGGCCCAAAACTGAACAAAGTATTTGAGGTGTGACCTCAAGATGGGAATAGATCAGAAGGAAAAAGGCAGTTGCTCTGCCCCTTTTCCTCATCAGCATAAGGAGAGACCAGAGATGAGAGGGTGAAAAGTGGATGATTGTCCACAATCTCACTCCTCTTTGTGGTGCCGTAGTCTGGATTATGATTTTCCCCTGCCCGAAATGTGACCCAGCACTCAATTTCTGCACTGTGAACAGGATCCTGTGGTCACCTGGGAATTAAGCCAAATGATCAAAGAAATTATTCGAAATGCCTAGTGTAACCTGCTAGGACTGCAGCCCGTGCTTTGCTGTGCCATTCCTCGCTGTCCCTACTGCACTGTGAGCACAGCCTGGTCCTGCTGCTCCTGTCCATGCAAATTTTGCTCTCATGGCAGCATCCAAGTCACTGGAGAGACCTGAAGAAGGGTATGGAAATGTCACTGCCGTGACTGACTCCTCTCCCCATGCACCATGCTACTGCCCGACAGGCTGAGGGGCTGGGGACCTACAGAAGACCTCCCCACCAGAACTGTTACAAATACCCTCCCACATTCTGCCATTAACTGTGCAGGCTTTAAAAGACAAATGTGGAAAGCGCTGTGTAAATATAATCATTAGAAAAGTAGCTGTGCAGTGCCAAGCCACACACAGATGATGTTGGAGTCGGTGTGTTCAGTTTTTGAAAGTGAACCTACAGTATGGTGAGTGGTAACGACTTACGGTGGTGGTGATTTGCTTCGTACAAGGGTAAAAGATCTTGCTGACTACTAAAGAACTTACGCCTGCAGGTTCTCTGAGCCAAACTGGTTTGATGAATATATTTAGTCTCTGGAATATTTTATTCATAAAAACAAAAACTTCTTGTAAATCACTTTTCACTGTAATTGATGATAGGCCTTGGGAAAAGAGTTAACTATTTAAAAGGGATCAGGAAACATTATTTCCTTTCTTAAAGCTCTTCCAAATCCCAAACCTGTAACAGAATGTATTTGTGTTGACTGGTAAATAAAAATAAATAGACTATAAATCAAGATGAAGCAACTGTTCAACTATCTTCTCTTACCTACAGAGTTGTGAATTTGTTGCTTCCTTTGCTGCAAATGCAGGAATTTAATCAAAACCGGAGATGAGACCACAGTCTGAGATGGATATCTATTCACAGCGATATGTTTCCCATTACTAGTTTATGCTTGTGGATGAAGAGACATTTAATGTTAAATACAGACTGTTGAAAACCAATTGGCCTTGTTCAATGAGCTGTTGTTAAGCTTCACAAGAGCAAGAAGTATTTTTCAGACTGCACAAAGGAGCAAAGGTAACTGAAACCACACATTTGATTTTGGTTTGTAGTTTACTAGATGCTATTAATTTTTTTTCCACTCTGCAGTGACATATGGGACTATATACAGTCATCATGATTTCAGCTGAGTTGCACCTGTTTTTGTCAGGACAGATTTTAGTAGAAACAAGTTGGATCCAACAGAACAGCATCAGGAAAAGCCACAGGCAAAAGGCACCCTGCCATTTTTGAGGATTACTAAGTATTTGTTCTTCCAGAAAAAAAAAAATATATATATAAACAAAACCAAACCCAACTTGTGGTTAACTTGAGATAGAATTGCAGGAATGTCCCACCATGCTAAGTAGAAAAACAGATTAGGTTCTTCATTTTAATCAAATTTCTATGTTTTCTACCTCTCCATCTCTCTGTCTTTCCTTCATTCTGTCACTCACAAAGCAAACAGACATGGACAGGCTGCAGAAGTGGGCAGAGAAGAAACTCATGAAGTTCAGCAAGGGAAAACGTCAAGTTCTGCACCTGGGGAGGAATAACCCAAGGCACTGGGACAAGCTCAGGGTGGATCACCTGGAAAACTGCTCTGCAGAGAAGGACCTGGGAGTCCTGGTGGACAACAAGTTGACCACGGGCCATTAACACACTCCTGCTGCAAAAGAGGCCAAGAGCATCCTGAGTCGTATCAGGAGAAGCACTGCCAGCAGGTTGAGGGAGGTGATCCTACCCCCTGCTCACCACTGGTGGGACACTTGGATTGTCCATGTCCAGTTCTGGGCTCCCCAGTACAAGAGAGATGTGGAGCTAATGGAGTGAGTCCAGTGCAGAACTACTAAGGTGATTAAGGGAATGGAGCATCTCTTATACAAGGAGAGGCTGAGAGAGATGGGACTATGTAGTCTATAGAAGGCTCAGGAGGATCTCATAAATGTATATAAATACCCCATGGGAGGGAGGAAGAAGAGGGAGCCAGCTTTTTTCAGTGGTGCCCACTGACAGGACAAGAGGCAATGGGCACAAACTGAAATTCATTAAATTCCATCTGAACACAAGAAAACATTGTACTGTGAGGGTGGTCAAACAGGCACAGGCTGCCCAGAGAGGCTGTGGAGTCTCCATGTACTGACCTGGCCAACCTGCCTGCAGCTGACCCTGCTTTGGGCAGGACAGCTGGACTAGATGATCCTCAGAGGTTGCCCATCCATACTGTGATTCATGTCAATGAAAAAAATCAGCGGCTTCTAGCTTGCTGCCTACTACCGATGTGTTTTCTCAGTTCTGGAGCTGAGTAAACGACATCTTTACCAGGGGGTGATTTGTTCAATAACTTGTTACTGAAGAGCTGCTCTGTTCCTCCTCCTGCCTGGAACCACACACTTTTCCAGCTTTTCTGCTGCCTTTTTGTGGGGTGGGTTCCCATTTCACAGTCAGCTTTTGCTGTGGGTCCCTTTTGTTTTCTGACTGCAATAGTGCCATTAGCTTCTGTAATATATGACTCCGAGACTGAATGGCTTCAGGTAGTTGCAAAGTATTCCTAGAAATCTGTAGAAAGAAAAATACCAATAAGGAAAGAGCAGAATGAATTTCTAGATCACACAGAAAAAAAATATTTTGCTTTAGTTGAACAAATACAGTCAATGTAAGTGTATTTAATCAAAGAGTACCTGGTGAAGGCTGTAGAAGACTTTTGCACTGCTGGCCACCTACTGTCAGGTTAACCCATCACATTTGTCTCTCCTCAATGTTACCAAATTATTCCCATCCCCGTCTTGAAACAGTGTCGCGCTCTTCACTTAGCAACTCTTCAAGTCTGTGGAGAGTTTATTCCACAGAATGAATTTTCTGCTTTCAGCTCTCCTCTGTCTGCCAGCTGAACTGAAAGGTTTGTCTCGCTAAGCTTCGTCTTGTCAGAATTTTCTACAAATACCTTTTAACTTGGGAACAACTTACTCCTCTTCCATGCAGCTTGTTCACCCTCCGCTCTCACTGTCTAACCCTGGGGTATCATGGCGAGGCTGAATCCCCACAGAGCATCACGCTCTGCTCTACATGAGCTTTTTTCCTTCAGAGTCTTTTTTTTTTTTTTTTTTTTTTTGTGAGATCACTGGGAAAGACATCTGCGTGGGAAGGTTATTTACAAAGTCCATATACCTCCCGTTCTTCTTGACAGGACCCTTTTCGCTGCATCTGTTCCAGTTGTCTGAGGAAACATTGTGAACCACAGCCCAGCTGCTTCCCCAGCTGAATGGCCTTTTCAGTCCACAGCCCCTCGTATGCTCCCAAAGACAACGG